GATATTGACCTCAATTCCTCAAGCAGTCAAGCTGTCAAGCACAGGAATAGACTTTTCCCACTCATTTCTGAAATCTTGCCACTCTCACGGCTCCAACATGACAAATATTGAATACATTTGGAATCTTGCGGCCTGACCGTGCCCTTTTGTTAACTATTAGATGGGAGGTAATTCATCAGGCTTCAGGCAGAAATCTCACGGTTCTGGAAATGGCAGGACTGCAGGCTGGAATGCTAAAATTAGTGGTTCACATGAAAAAAGCATTCCGCCTTAAAAAAAACGTTCCAGGCAACTAGAAACAGGTTTGCAGGCCGTCAGAAATTGGCTCCAGTTAGGGTAGCTATGATTGTATGAACGTCAAATCAGGCAACACAGAGAAGGTCCCATGCAAGATTGTTAATTGCCAGTCTGGGACTCTGGGCAGGGGAACTCCATTTGCAGTCCTAAAGGTAGATGTTTTCCATGCTTACTCAACTTCTCAAGCATAGGTGATTGCAGTTTTGCAGATTGGCATCTTTTTCTCATTAATGTGTGGTATAGCTGTGGCATGTGTGCCATGGTGGGTTGGTGGCTCTGGCTTTTGCCTAAATTTTCCAGATTGGGATAAGTTCAGTGCCTGGCCAGGAAGGCTGGCCTACTGAGTGCCTAGTGGCAATATTTATGTTGTTGACTGTTACTGTGTTGACACTTGACAGAATTCAAAAAATAAATGTAAAATGGTATTTGAACTTTGACTTTTAAGCAATATGTGTCAGCAAGATCTTCTGCCGTTCTGCATCTCCGTCTGGTTCATATGTCACTGAGTGCTGTGACTGCTGTCACTGCTGTGTACTCAGTATAGACTGTGTAGTGACTAGTGAGGTGAGTGATGTGTACTTATTTTGTGCCCCTTACTCCCTTAGCAAAAGTTAGCATTCTAAGATGACCTTCAGTCGTAAGATATTGGGGCTTGCTCTCAGACCTCGGTCACACTCACTGACTCACAGAGCACTCTCTCCAGACTCACTCCACGACTTCACCATGCCAAATTCCATTACTACAGTACAGTACCTAACTTTAAGAATAGAAGCTAAAACTAAAAAAGTTGCATAGGGTAAACGCGGTATATTCCGACATCGTAGGTAATTCCGTCGCTTCTCTAGTTTTTCCTTTATATTAAGCTTTGTTTTAGTTCCATGCGTTCATTGATGGTTGAAATGGTGACGTCATACATTTGCGTGTCGAAATACTGCAAAAACACTAGGTCTTGGCCATCTAGCGG